GATGTGCTGAGAAATAATAATAGAGCAAGTCCCAGGGACATGATGTACCAAACATATGATAATACGTATGTGAAATAATAACTTGCAAGAAAATGGCAGCTTTAAAGAGCGTAATCCCATTATTTTTCTTAGAGAATATAAGAAGCCAAAAAATCTAAGCCTAAAAGACAGTTCATTGAAAACCTTATACATAAGAAATGTTACATTATTTAATTATACACGCTAGAGAGCAACAAAGAAAAAAAAACCCCCCAAAACCCAAGGCAATAAAAGCATTAACTTCTGAAGTTTTACCTCATCTTAAGAGGCATTTTTCCAGAAAGCCCATTATTCCTGGGACCACAAAGTTGTGTGTGCCTAATGGGCTAATTTTAGACTCCTTCTTCATATACTGTTTGGTGTTAAAGAGATTTTTAATTTTATTTTTTATTTTTTTTAATTTACATCCAAATTAGTTAGCATGTAGTGCAGCAATGATTTCAGGAGTTGATTCCTTAGTGCCCCTTACCCATTTAGCCCATCTCCCCTCCCACAACCCCTCCAGTAACCCTCTGTTTGTTCTCCATATTTAAGAGTCTCTTATATTTGGTCCCCTCCCTGTTCATTATTTTTGCTTCCCTTCCCTTGTGTTCATCTATTTTGTCTCTGACAGTCCTCATATGAGTGAAGTCCTATGACTTTTGTCTTTCTCTGACTAATTTCATTTAGTATAATACCCTCCAGTTCCATCCACATAGTTGCAAATGGCAAGATTTCATTCTTTTTGATTACCGAGCAATACTCCATTGTATATATATACCACATCTTCTTTATCCATTCATCCGTCGATGGACATTTGGGCTCTTTCCATACTTTGGCTATTGTTGATATTGCTGCTGTAAACATTGGGGTGCATGTGTCCCTTTGAAACAGCACCCCTGTATCCCTTGGATAAATGCCTAGTAGTGAAATTGCTGGGTCGTAGGGTAGTTCTATTTTTAGTTCTTTGAGGAACCTCCATACTGTTTTCCAGAGTGGCTGCACCAGCTTGATTCTCATGAAGAGATTTTTTACACAATACAAACAGTTTCTGTGACCAAAGGCCATGATCAGAGCTGCTCTTTGAATAAGAAATAATACTTTCAAATAACTAAAAATTTGCTAAAGGCTGAATTGAGACTAGATTCTGAAATTCCTGATTCCATAGTTATGAAAGACTGTAAAATATCTGGATTTCCTCCATTCAACGCATGTGTATATCAAAGCTGAATGAATCCTGGTATTTTAAAGTAATGGGTTGTAGAGAAGTAGACTTTGTTAAATAAATGCAATTCCAATGGCAATCACAGGTTTCCATTAGATACACATTGGGAAATAGTGTACCATCCTCTTTGAAAATAGTAAGTTGTTAGAATTGGATGTACTTTATGAGGTTAAAGCATTTTTTAAAAACATTACAATGTTTTGTGATGTTTTTGAAATTCCAATTTCATTAATTCCACATGTTCCATTCCAGATTTGGTTCTTGAATCTCCACTACAGCAAGAGTATATATTTGTGGAATATTTTGCAGTAACAAACAAGAGGAAGAAACATAGTTTTTATAAGATTCCTAATAGCCAGTGTATATAAACCTAGCAACCTATTTCTACAAGTGTCAGCTAATCAAATTTTTATGTATTTTATATGTACCACAAAACGTAATTTTTAAAAGGAAACTCTGAAGTGAGTGCTTCTTTATAGCAGAGAAAGACACAGTGTAGTGCAAAGACCACAACTTGAGGGATAGAATGGTTTGCCTTTAGCTCTTAAAACACTCATCACCTATCTGAATTTCCTCAGTTTCCTTATCAATGAAATCAGGGTGATTAACACTGACCTTGCTAGGTTGTGGGAAGGATTACTATGGAAACTGCTGAGTAGAGCAACTGGCAGAGTAGGAGCTTCACAAATGGCAGATACCGTCACTACCACCACCATCATCTTTTTTGTCATTTCATAGCTGGCTTCTACATTAATTCTAATGTCTATAAGGTGAACTCCACACATAATGATATACGTAACTAAAGGAGATTAAATGAAATGTTCTATTAAATGTTCAGAAACAGTAATCCATACAAGTTCCTACAGAAACAATCCATAGGAAAACTAAAGCCATTACAAAATGAAAATAGTGCAGAAACAACTACTTACAAAATTAGTCCTAATGCAGATGTTATTTCTCCATTTAATACCGGTGTGTGTGTGTGTGTGTGTGTGTGTGTGTACACACACACACACACACGCTCATCCTATCAAAGACTTTGGTTTCTCAATAAATACAAGGCAAATTCAATTCAGTTATAAAGTGAAATGGAAGTCATTCAAAAAATTTACTGTAATGAGTTAAAGCAGTGATGAAGTACTGCTGGGATCACAATCCAGGCCACCAATGAATGACAAAATCAACAAGGATGATGACAGAGTAACTTCTTCAGAAGGACTTGATTATCAAAGAAGAAGGGCTTAAAAAAATCTGATGAAGCGGGTGCCTGGGTGGCTTAGTCAGTTGAGCGTACGACTTCAGCTCAGGTCATGATCTCGTGGTTTGTGAGTTCGAGCCCTTCGTCGGGCTCTGTGCTGACAGCTCAGAGCCTGGAGCCTGCTTTGGATTCTGGGTTCTCTCTCTCTCTCTCTCTCTCTCTCTGCTCCTCCTCTGCTCATGCTCTGTCTTTCAATAATAAATAAATGTTAAAAATTTTTTTAAAAAACCTGATGAAGCCTTTATCTTTTTGTAAAAAAATGATGTTACTGTAATGTCAAAGTCAAATATGCAGTTTAAAAGTCTAGTAATTTACTATCGTGCATACAATTATGCCAATAAAATAAACATTCAATTTTTACTATTCTGTTAACTAGAAAAGATTTTATAATGTTACAGATTTTCTCAGAGTAAAAATCAACGTTTTGAAAAATTTTTAGTTTTAATTTCTCACAATTTACTCTGAACATTTGGTCCCAATTTAAACTGATTTCACTTTAAGGAGGCTTTTCATAAAATTATCCTATTATAAGTACCTCCAAATATGAAAAAAAATTTGTATAAAAATTATTAAAAATTTTAAGTTACATCAAGTTATATAGAAGGCACTTTGTGTTATCCTCAGTACTCAAATATGTGATTTTATATTAAAGTGGTTCTATGGTTACATAAAGAGTATCCAACAATATCTTAAACTTATAGAAAATAATTTCTTCTGAGGAGTTCAAATTGCTTCATACAAAATTTATAAATTGGTTCATCTTTGGCCTCAAATAACTTCTAATTTTTTCCCTGCAGCGAAGACCACTTTTCATTTAAAATAGGCTAAAATCCTAAAGGAATAACCATGACCAACCCCAAACTAGTAATCTTTTCAAATATAGTTGCACCTCATTTATCTGACACCACTGGACAATGAAGTATTAAACTGGAAAACTTAACTGTGAATCTGAAGCTGGTCCTGATAGGTCTTCCCCGTACCTCCTCAGGAATATTTCATTATTTTATCTTCTGTGCTACCCAATAGTGTTTAGAACATAACCGATAAAATACTACATTGTATTTGAATTATTTGCTTATATGTCTGTGTGAACCATTACATAGCAAACTCTTTGAGGACAAAGGACATGTTTTATTCATCCTTGTATCCACAGCATTCAGTGCAAGTCTAGCACAAGTAGAAATGCAATTAATCTTTGTCACATAGAGGAAAGAAGGAGATGGGGAGGAAGGGCTCGACCTTATTTTTAACAGTGAATAGTTTTTTAACAATAATCTCTCTGAATGATAGCACTTTTCTTTTTCTTAATGTATAGAGTGAACTAAACATGCTTATTTAACTTTTTTTGGATGACTAAGGGTCATAGTTTGTAACATTAATTATCGCTCTGTGCCTTCTTAATGATGCGTTCTAGTACTGTTCAAATACTGAGGTTGATCTTCCCAAGAATTCATTACTGTGGGGCTTTCCAATTGGGGATACCTCTTCTCATCTACAGGAAGAACTGAAAGTTGACCAGGAAAACCAGTTAAAGAAGCACTTTACATCAGTAGCCTTTACACTGAGGACAGTCATGGGTACACCTGGGGCAGCTGGCTCTGTGGCAGCTTGAGGTCTTCTCCACATTCCTGAGGATTCAGGTTTACTTCTACATTCAGAGTTTAGAAAACTAGCTCATATTTAATTCCACTATCTATGTTTCATAAAATTTTCCCTCCAAAGTACACTAGAATTCCAAATTTTCAAAATGTCCTCCAGTTGCACCTATAATTTTTTAAGTAATTAGTGTTTGATTACATAAAAAACAAAACCATCTTAGTGCTCAATTAAGAATTACACAAAGATGAAAATGTATCATTTTGCAATGACCACAGGAAGGCAAAAAAGGAAACATTCTGTATCTTAAGTATTGGTTTTTGACATGCTCCAAGTGTGTATTTTGTAGATCAAGTCCATTTCAAGTCCATTTGATGTGCTAACCATCAAAGCAGTTTCCAAAGTGCACAGATACCAGTTATAAAGGTCATGAGAAGTTATTCAGAAATTATTTTTCATTGAATTCTAACAGGAGGAACAAGTAGATAGACCTGTGTTTAGAAAAGAACTTTGCACGATGAACTAACACAGGCCCGTTCATATCTGACTCGTGCCTGAGGAACTGAGGTGGTCTCTCTAGGACCCACTGCCTGGTACTATATTGACCTATCTGTATCAGTCGACACACTGAAAGCCTGCCACAACTTTTCCCAAAGCAGAGGCTACCCTAGAGCTGACCCCCAGCACTCTGTCACTACCCCAGCAGCACCACAATCCTGGAAGAGTGCAAAGAAACATGAGTGCAAATACACATAAGTAGTTATCTTTGCAGAGGTATGAAAAGCCACAGAGAAAGAACCCTGAAAGAAACGTAAGGCTTGTGCTGGTTGAAAACAGGGCTGACTGTAGAATGGGACCTGATCATGGCTCCTTCATGACCACCTCCCACTCCAACTCTTACCAGAGACAGCAGAGTATAGTGAAAAGAATATACATGAGGGTTTGAGTTTTGCTTCTGTCTTGGGCAATTTATTCAAAGTACCTGAACTTCATTTCTCATAGGATTACAGCCAGATTAAATGAGACACCCTTCTAAGAAATAGGTTACCATGCCTTGACATAGGCAAGCACTCAAGCCATGTTCATTTCTGGCACATTAGTGTAAAGCGTATGATGTGTGTGTGTGTTTTTTTTTTTTTATGTTTTGTTTTGTTTTGCTTTCCTTACAAAACATTGGGGTATTTGAAAACCTATTTTCAATTATCTTGTGATATTCTTACAGTTACCTTTAAAAAAAATTTTTTTTTCAACGTTTATTTATTTTTGGGACAGAGAGAGACAGAGCATGAACGGGCGAGGGGCAGAGAGAGAGGGAGACACAGAATCGGAAACAGGCTCCAGGCTCTGAGCCATCAGCCCAGAGCCCGACGCGGGGCTCGAACTCACGGACCGTGAGATCGTGACCTGGTTGAAGTCGGACGCTTAACCGACTGCGCCACCCAGGCACCCCTACAGTTACCTTTTAAAGAGGTAGATATAAGCAAGATAGAAAGCATGGTTATCTTTAACTGTATAATTTATAAATTACTTTGTAATTTATACTTGTACAACACTTGTATCAATTTGATTCTGACAGTCCGCTTCTTAAAAAAATAAGTTATTGATGTCTTTGATGGAGCTATTTTGAAATTCATTTTCTCCACCTCTTTTAAAGAGGTTTATTATATATTGTGACAAATATATTAGATGTTTCTACACTAATTTTATCAGCAGGGCTTAATCAGTTTTATGAACCATCCTATACAAAACTATTTTTTAAAACTAGTTCACTATATTTATTTTGCTCTGAGCCATTCAACAAGGCAGAGTAGCTACACTATTTTATACCAGATGGACATTTTAACCAAACCTTTGTATAAAAGAAAAAAAATTAGCTGATTCAAAACCCTGACAGAACAAGAAAAGGAGTATATGAATATTTTTTCAAGTGGTCTTGCCACCAGTTTTCGTCCCCTTTGAAAAATAGATTTTCTTGGCTTTGAAGATACTATAATTTCAGATGAAGAATTTCTACCTAAATGTACATGATACATGTTTAAGAATCATTAAGAGTCAGACAGTTGCTAGAGTCAAATTACTACCCACCCCCCCTCAAAGATATACCTGTGGTTTCTCTAGTTCCTTTTAGTTATCTCTCTTATTCAGTACATTTATTTTCTTAAAATAGTACTCTGATTTGAGAGCTCTAATGTTGAATTAATGGCTTTAATGGAAAGGCTATGCTCCCAGACTCCTGAAATCCTCTTTGGAATATAATTCCATGTGTACAATTACGACAGAGTTTTAAAAAATCCTAAATCGACCTGTTACACTGAGTACTATTTGGAATTGAAAAGGAATAAAATACTTAAATATTTTCAGTGGATATGCTTGCAGTCTCATTTTTGTGTATATGTACATACATATAACTGAAAATTTGATGTTGTTTTTTGTGCAGTATAACTTAGTCTTTCCTGACTGATAATAGAGATTTAATGTTTGTTCTTTTACCAAAGGCTGGTTCCCAAAGCTACTTGGAATTTATATGAGGTTTGTTCAAAGAGGAGAATAGTCTCAGGCAAAAATTGTACAGAGTGAAGGATAACTGATGGGGAGTAGAGGAACACTTTTGGAGGATATTTAAACCAAGGGTGAGCAGGTAAAGTCAAATACACTTGGATATAGGAAGAGATGAAAGCATCAATAAAAGTAAATTCTGGAATCGAGTTTTCAGGGAACATGTGAAAGTGAAGAGTTTACCTGTAGTTAGTATCAGATTGTACCACCCTAAGTCTGACATCAGGATGAAGCCCTAACCCTAATCTCGCAGCTCTCTTTGACTTTCCTTCAAGTGCATAACTGCAAGTTTAGTCTGTACAATTCTGGGATTTGTTTTCCAGCAGGCGCGAAATACTTGCCTACTCCACAGTTGAGTTCTTTGTTACCAGTTGGTTCTTTGTTACCAATGCCTCTTTCTTGCTCTGTCAGTGACTGTCTCACTCAAACTCTTGACCATCTGAATGCGCTGGATATGTAGCCACCCTGTTTCCTGACCTCAGTTTCTGACTCGTTGCTTTGCCTTGGTCCTCAAGACAGTTCAGAGACTACCTTTGCTTCTCAAAACTGGTAGCTTCATATGCAAAATAAAAACTTTAAGAGATGGTAGAGTATCTAACTGTATAATTCAGAAAATCTTAGCTCATTTTGATGGGAGTTAAAATTTTCTTAATGTAGTTATAGAGGGTGTGTACATATTTTAAATACTGCTTTACAGGGTTAGTGAACAGAGAGACACAATTGATAGCATAGTATCATATTATAATTAGACATTTTTTAGCATAAGAGGTATACAGTGGCCAATCCCAATCTAGGGTGTGCAGCAAAAGTAACTTTACTTTCTAAACTGGTCTCTTGTGGTTACAGGCAGCCTTTCTAAATTATGCTGTAAAATACACAATTCATCATGGTGTAAAATACTCAACCTTGCCTTTTCAGAAGGCATCTCAGTTTCTTTTTTCTTTTTTCTTTTCCCTTTCCTTTTCCTTTCCCTTTCCTTTCTCCTTTCCTTTCTCCTTTCCTTTCTCCTTTCCTTTCTCCTTTCCTTTTTCCTCTCCTCTCCTCTCCTCTCCTCTCCTCTCCTCTCCTCTCCTCTCCTCTCCTCTCCTCTCCTCCCTTCCCCTCCCCTCCCCTCCCGTCCCCTCCCCTCCCTCTCATCTCCCAAAATAAATAAATAAACTTAAAAAAAATAGTCATGATGGCAGGAGGGAGATGTAGGGGTGTGGATAGGGTTGGAGGAGAAGTAAAGAGAAGGAAATAGCATGATTTTTAAAAAGGGTGCATTGGGTAACATTGAAAAAAGCTATTATATTACCCTAAGTTTTAATTGGCCATCAGAGAATGGTATCACTTCAAGAGAAAGGAGTCTCTGATTATGATCTTTCAGTAACTGTAGTACCTAACAGTTGATATGTAACTTAATTTCCATCATCAAAAATTAAGTTAAATCAGAAGTTTTCAGGAATGAACAAAGTTTTCCAGGGTATGTTAAGGAAATAATAGTGTTTTCTTAGGAATTGTTCATGACTCTTATGATGAGTAAAAAAGAAAAATAAAAAGCTATTGAAAACATGGAACTATTCCATATTTTTTAGTGTTGTGAATGAAATTTTATTGATGCTAAAGAAAACACCACTGAATATAGTTTGGGAGAATATTTATACTAGAGAACTTTTTAAAAGTTATTTATTTATTTATTTATTTATTTATTTATTTATTTATTTGAGTGAAAGCGAGCTGGGGAGGGGCAGAGAGAGGGAGAGAGAGAATCCCAAGCAGGCTCCGCACTGTCAGCACGGTGTCAGTGTGGGGCTTGAACTCATGAACCATGACATCATGACCTGAGCTGAAATCAAGAGTCTGACACTTAACCTACTGAGCCACCCAAGCACCCTTATACAAGAGAACTTCGTATTAACTAATACACAATGCCTCACAGTCTTTGAAATAGTGAATGCCTTTATAGTTGTGTACGCTTGTATAGCTAAGATTTCACTAGTGATCAGTCAGAATAACTTCATGTCTCGACTAGTGGACTGTTTGCAGGTCTTTGAAAGCCAAATACCTTTCACTGAAAGTTATGCCTTGACAGTTGAAAAATGTCATTTTAAACCTATGTGATAATGTGATGGTAGTATCTGAAAGCAAAATCTGGACCCAGTAGGTTAATTATAAATGAAAGATACTCATCTTACTGCTCTAGGATATTAACAACTCAGCTGAAGGCATTTATAAATGTAGGATACATTTTCAAATAGCTGAGTATTATATTTCAGTCAAATAATACTGTTTTTCTATGTCTGAAGACTTCTGTTGAAACTCAACAAGCTGCCAGTTTTTTTTTCACTGTTAATTATTAGCATTAAAAGAAATACACTGTTAGAAACGACCTTTTAAGGAAAGGGAAACCCAGAGTTAGGCTTAACATAACAAAGGAGTAGAATGTGTTCTAGTAGAACAACATATGAATCCCACAAAAGGGCTTTCAGTCACAGCACCATGATCAATTAGATCAGCAACAGCTGAAATCGTTAGTTGTGGCTGCTGTTGGTGAGATGTTTTTCTTCCTCCTAGGTGTTCTAACATCAGTTCATCACTTTGCTACACAGTGTCTGAGGCTCTGCTAACCTTAAATACAGAATTGAAAAGAATGAAAGAAAATAAGAAAGTAATCAAAATGAGAGTATCAGTGTTTTGCCTACATATTAATCAAATATACAGCAGCATCTGCTCAAAAAAAGATTGTGAAGAATATTTCATGAAGGTAATTTAAATGCTTAACATGACAGGGGCACCTGGATGGCTCAGTTGCTTAAGTGTCCGACTTCAGCTCAGGTCATGATCTCACGGTTCGTGGATTCGAGCCCCATGTCGAGCACTGTGCTGGCAGCTCAGAGCCTGGAGCCTGTTTCAGATTCTGTGTCTCCCTCGGCCCCTCCCCTACCTGTGCATGCTTGCACACGCTCTCTCTGTCTGTCTCTCAAAACTAATATAAACATTAAAAAAATAAAATATAAATGCTTAACATGACAGTAAACATAACAAATTATCAGTTTAGTGGTTTCTAATTTTTGATGTCTGGAACTTAGTTTTTTTTTTTTTTTTTTTTTTTAATTTCTGGAACTTACTTTTCCTCCACCCATTTTCTCCCATGGCTGTTTATCTTGTGAGTAGTCAGTGTGTTAAGATGGAACTCAAGTTCATTTTTAGTTACATAATAACAAAAATGTGTTGGTATTGTGATTATTATTGTGATTGAAATTCCGAAGAATGTTTTGCCGTGTTATTTTTTAAACTACATAAAGTAAATGATATGTAACAAAATGATAAAGTAAAAAAAAAATGTTGTATTGGCTCTACTGTACAGAGAGCTACTGAGCCTTGTAAAATGTTGCCTTCATTCATCTGTTCTAAATTTTAATAGTCAATAAGAGTTTAATACAGGGTGTCCACAGGACAGATAACTCACAGTCATCAAGAGTGTGGTGATGGAACCCTTGCCAGTGTTTAGCTGTATCATTCAGTTTTCTGTTTACTACAACCACGGTTATACTCAAGCCTACAAGGATTGCCGTTTAAGTACACTTTCAGGCAGGTGGTCTGCAAATTCAAATGAATCGCAGTTGTTTAATCTCTGTCAGAGGCAGAAATGACCTGTGCGCATGAGTGCAGCTGTACTGACAAACACCTGTTACAGGACAAAATTTCTCTTCCAGTCTTCTGAGGATGTTTTCACCACTCAAGATTGCAGTCGTGGGTGCACAGTTGAATTCAGAACAGTAACACCTTACGTACACAATGTTTTTTTTCTTTCCCCACAAACTTTTTTTTTTCCAAAAAATTAACTTCCTCGTTTAATTAATTCATTCTCTCATTCATCAAACATTTATTAAGTGATCTAAAATTTAATATCACAATACCCATCCTGAAAGGAGCTCAGTCTAGAAGAAGAGACACATTAACAAACGTAGAACAATGTGATAAGTGTATAAGACTGAAAAAGAGAATTAGGTTTTTTTCTTTAAAGAAGTATCTTTGAGAAGTATTTTCTTTATTTTTTTTAATGTTTATTTGTTTTGAGAGAGAGAGAGAGAGACAGACAGAGAGAGAGCACAAGTCGGAGAGGGGCAGAGAGAGAGGGAGACACAGAATCCAAAGCAGGCTCCAAGCTCTGAGCTGTCAGCACAGAGCCCTATGCAGGACTTGAATTTATAAGCTGTGAGATTGTGACCTGAGCCGAAGTCAGATGCTTAATCAACTGAGCCACCCACCCATGAGAAGCATTTTTAAAATATGCTTAAGTCACATTTTAATAATTTGCTTAGGATCCCTACTATGGAG